ACCAACAACAATCACTTCTACCAGTAGTTGTATTTTAAAATAGGACATTAATTTCTACAGGGAATAGTGAAACAATACAACAGATTCTATTAATATATCCCTGCTACTCATCTTTGGCAGTATAGCACAGTTAAGGACTCCTGAAGGTTTAGGGCAGATGAAATTCTCAATTAGTTCTTGAGTGAATAACCCCCACAGTTAATGTAACACAATGGAAAGAGCAACAGCGATAACAGAGAAGCAAAGTCCTAATCTGCAGCAAGTGAGATTTGCTCAAATGTAACAGCTAGGAGTACAGAAACAACAAAAATAAGTTGCATACCTTCAGAAGACCACAATATGCAAGGATCTCCTGTGAGATATCCCTGCATCCCTTGACAACCCTTAAATGAGGTCTGGGAAGGTTCCAGTCACTCAGCAGCATTGCATGCACCTGAGCTCCCCTGCATTGTCCCTGCCTTCCCACCAGGTGCTCAATCGCAGTTTCAAGCTATGGTTTAGCATTTCTTCTACAGTTAAGAATAATGTTATTGGCTTTTAGCAACGCTAGTCATAATCTTACATTTGTGGCACTTCAAGAAATCATAGAAAAAAATCATACAATGTCTTGTGTTGGAAGGGATCTCCAAGATCATCTTGTTCCAACCCCCCTGCCACGAACAGGCTTGCCAACCACTAAATCAGGCACAAGATCAAGCTGCCTAGGGCCCCATGCAACCTGGACTTGAACATCTCCATGGATGGAACATCCACAACCTCTCTGGGCAGCCTACTCTAATGCTTCACAACTCTGAGTGAAAAAATCCATACTCATTCTTATCTTCCTGTTCCTGTGGAACAGGACACACTTTCTATGAGCTGCATTTTTAAACTCTCAACATTAACATTAACAAAAAGGAGACAAACCTCTGCAGCAAAAGAGAGAGGTCATTGTATGGGCTCCTACCAACTACTTTTCCTTTCTTACATTAGCAAAGCCTCTATTTCAAATTGTACTCATGTCATTTGATCTTTTAATTTCTAACACTAATCTTAACGGTAGCTTTATTTCTTACACGGGCCGAGAAATTTTAATTTCCCAGGTTATTGTTTCTGATAGCAACTTAACTACACACTACTGGGCACATTCAGTTAAAAATGTAAGGGTTATATATATATATTTGTACTATGAAAGATTTAGAAGGTGTCAAGCTCCTTATGAAGCTAGAAACAAGGTGCTTTAAGCCAAGCCAGTGTGCCCAGGATATATGGAAACTAAGAAAAGCATCCTGTTCCTTTCAGTGCATTAGTTATTCCCAATGAATAATACACTTCATAAACTGAGAAGTCTCCACTTTTGATGATATCGAGCAGTGTGCTATGAAAACACATTATGATTTCAAGATTGCAAGAGATCATCATGCTTACAGTCATATTTCACTGGGGTACCTATACCTTGAGAAAGGTGCCCTTAGTTTCTTGTAAGCTATGTAAGACCAAAGAAACATACTTATTTCTCTTTAGTTCCTAACCCCTCCCCCTCTCTGCCCCAAAATACAACAATGACCCATCTGTGCACATACAAGAGAGCAATTTCTAATATTTAAACATGGGCTAATCTGCCAACACTGATGTGTCAGGGACAGAACATAATGAATGTCACAATGCTTGGCCTTTCTTTTCACTAAAACTGTTTGAAGAGAGATGGGGAACAAGAAAGCTAATGAAAAAAACAAACCGCTGTGGATTACAGTTGATTTAAAAAACAACATTATTCTCTTCAGTTTTTCTTTGAAAACATTTTCATGTTTCAATTCTCTATTAGTTTCAAGAAAGAACATATTTCTCCTGAAATTACACTTGTGGGCTGCAATTTAGTACTACAAATCGTTAATACTTTTATAAATCTTAGCAAACTTAACTGCACTTTGAATCATATCTATTCTTTGATATATTTGCACTGCACTTAGGCTGTGATTACTGTGATTATTTCACTGGGACACCACTGTGGCAGTTAAGATTACAAACTGAAAAAATAAAAAAATCAGTTAAACAAAATTCAGTAGTCGTTAGACACTGGATCTCATGTGTCACAAGATGAGGATCTTCAAGTACTTAAACAGCACGTGGCTTCTGTCTTGCAGCCACTGAATGTGATGGCATTTTGTTACACATCTTTACGGCTTGACATGGTGGCATGCAGAAACAACTGAGCTAGCACTAAAAAAAGCTCTTGCACTAGAATTGATATAGAATTAATATAAAACTCTGCAGAATTATATACCAATAGGAGCATGCCACTTCACCTGGATTGATATATTTTCAATCTACTCTCTTGCAGAGATCTAAAGTTTCAATTTGGAATGACAAACACTCTGCATTTTGTCCTAGTTGTTCTTAGAACCAGTGCCGGACCGTACAGATGAGTGGGTATCTTTCTGTTTACATTTTGGGATCTGAATTATGTATCTTAAAACTGAAGTAACTGCAAAGGCATTATGATAAGTTACCATTCTCTACACTGTGACATTTACCTGTCCTTTTTCACCACCTATCTGAAACACTTCCTTTTTCCCTTTTTGATGAGGACAGACATTCTTTTTTCTATGATCCATTGTAGCTGTATTAATTCAGGCTAGTAGCAAGGCTCAAAAAAGTAGTGCCAGAGGCAATGTGTGAGAACAGACTGGATGTAACAGGAGTGTTGCTGACAGAAAGATGTCTGATTTATAAACATCAAGAGGAAACTCAGACTTCATAGTGCATGGGATTTTCCAGCAACAAAGTATTAAGCAAAAAGAATAAGCCACTTGCGGGGCTACCTACTGGCACTGCAAGGAAGAAGAATGAGGCAACAAAGGGATTAACTTAATGTCCTCTCTGAAGTCTCTGGTAAACCAGAGGACAACACAAACAGGGAGAGCAACAGTAATTGTACTAATAAATTAACTAATTAATGCCTGACTTTTTGGGATCAGTGTATGTCTTGAAACAGACAACTGAAGGACTTGTTCTGAAGCAGCAGGCTTTGGTACAGAAAAGTGAGGTAGACCTGGTGTACTGATGCTCCACTGCTGCACTGCAGCAGGCTGCTCCAAGTCCCAGACCTTCACGTTGATGAACAGCACCCAGTAAGACCTGGGAGGGCCTGGAGACAACTGCCATGCGCTGTGAGTCCCCTCACTTGTAAATATAACGACAAGATCAACTATTTCAGAAAAGCAAGCACAGAAAGAGCTGTGAATAGTATTGTAGTACAGTAAAACATTGGTTGCAAATGGTATCCTGGGGTCCATCAAAAGAGGGGTGGCCAGCAGGGACAGGGAGGTGATTGTCCCCCTCTACTCTGCTCTTGTGAGGCCCCATCTGGAATACTGCGTCCAAGTGTGGAGCCCCCAGTACAAAAAAAGACAGGGAGCTGTTGGAGAGGGTCCAGAGGAGGGCCACTAGGATGATCAGGGGACTGGAGCACCTCCCCTATGAGGAGAGGCTGAGGGAGCTGGGCTTGTTCAGCCTGGAGAAAAGAAGGCTGCGGGGTGACCTCATTGCAGCCTTTCAATACCTAAATGGAGCCTACAGAGGGGAGGGGAATCTTTGAAAGAGTTGATAACTGCAGGACGAGGGGAAATGGTTTCAAGTTGAGGGAGGGGAGATTTAGGTTGGACATCAGGGGGAAATTCTTTACAGAGAGAGTGGTGAGGTACTGGAACAGGCTGCCCAGAGATGTTGTGCATGCCCCATCCCTGGAGGTGTTCAAGGCCAGGTTGGATGGGGCCCTGGTTTAGCATTAAACGTGGAGGTTGGTGGCCCTGCATGTGGCAGGGGGGTTGGAGATTCATGATCCTTGAGGTCCCTTCCAACCCTGGCCATTCTGTGATTCTGTGATTCTGTGATCGGGTGCTGTAGGAAAGGACGATACACTTCTGAAATGTAACGTATTGAATAACACTCATGTTGTGGTTCAACCATTTCCTTATTAGTTAGAAGCTGTTTTTTGAAGCAGGAGATCTCAGTGAAGGCAACTTTCACAGTTCTGATACACACTTCTACCGAAACATGACCCAACTGTCTCATTTTCCAGGGGAGCGGGACAGGACGCGGCGCCGGGCGGAGAGCGGCTGGACGCGCTGCGGGGTTCCCCTCTCACAGTTGGGTCCCCGAGTGTCCAGTGGGAACGGGGGGCCTTTCGGGGAGGAGATCCGAAGCGCACTCCCGACGTCCGGGACGTGGTGCGGCGGGGACCGGGTGGCTGTTTGGCGCGTGATTTCCCTTCACCTCCCGCTCCCTCCGTTCGCACAGGGCACCCCGCGACAGTGCGAAAAGAAGACGCGTTCGGGAGCGGGTGCGCAGCAGACGGCCGGGGCAGGCCACCCCTAAGAGCCCCCAGCCCCTCTCTCAGCCTGGTTTCTCCCCCAGCCGCCCGGCACACCCCCCGCCCCCCTTCGCCCTCCCCGCTCCACCCGCCCGGAGACTCGCCCCCCCGCCCGCAGCCTCGCTTCGCGCCACCCGCTCGAGGGGCGCCGCGGGCGGCACTGCGCATGCTCCGTAGCGCGACCGTGGGGTTGGGGGCGGCGGGGCAGAGGGGACTCCGCGCCCCGGGGACAGGATACGCCCGTCGGCGTCCCCCGGGTCGCTCCCGCACGGCGGCTTCCCGTTCCCTAAGCTCCCCTTCGGGAGAGCCGGTCCTCGCCGACACGGCACTCGAAAGTGCCGTGGGCGGCCGGTGTGCCGCCACCGAGGCGGAGGGCGGTGCCGTGGGCGGCCGGGGGTGCGTCGCGATTGGCCTCCGGGCGGCGGCTGCCTTGTCAGTTGGGCGCAGGGGTGGCCCCGGAGCCGCTCGCCCAGCCCTCTGACGGGATGAAGCCTTTAGGGGGATGCGGCGCTCCGTGCATTTTGATTAAAGCCCCTCGTCTCCCTCCAGTCTGAAGGCAGGGCACCGGGGAGCACGGGGCGGAGGGGCCTGCACGGGGCCGGGCGAGGGAGAGAGAATCCCTTCGGTGTGTCACGTATGGCTCTATAGGACAAATCATCTCTGGGAATATTGTGGAAAGGACGGAGTATAAGTTGAAGGCGCCCAGGTTTAACTCACGCTCGCGGGCGCGCAGCATGAAGATGCAGAGGTGGTCCACGCGGTGGAAAACGAAAAGGTGGCCCCGGGACTCGGCCGTGACCGTGCTCATCACCCTCGCTGTCCTTCTCCAGGCTGCCGAGGTCAGAGGAGGTAAGGAAACGGACGCGCCGCGGCCGCCGCTCTTCCCCCGCGTCGGGGAAGAGATCCGAGGCCAGGCCAGGGCTGTCAGAACGCCTCTGCTGCCGGGGCGAGGAGGAACCCTGAGGGCTCGGGCCCGGGGCGCGGACCCTTCCGAGAGCCCCTGGGACCGCGGGTGCCCGCTCGGAGCCGCCCGTCCCACCTCAGCGCCGCTCTGGGCTCAGCGCCGCCGAGGGGATGCGCTGGCAGGACGGGATGGTGAAACAAATACGCGTTGCGCTGAGCGATTTCCCGTCGTCCGGCACCCCGCTCGGTTTTTATAGAGTGTGCCTGCGATTTTCAGTTCTGTTGAACTTAGGTTCTTGACGCTGCTGAAGCTCACGAAGTTGTGGCAGAAATTGAGCGACAACCATCTGCCTCCTCGGAGAGGCGAGGAAGGGGAAAAGCTGGATGTGGAGACTCCTCTCGGATTTTCTCCTTTCCTCCCCTCGCCTGATTTTTCCTTTGCAAAGGCTCGCAGCGGGCAGGATGTTTTCCAGTGCGACTGAGTAGAAGTATGGCAGGGGCCCTTGGCAGCGAGGAGGGCAACCCCGCAGGTGGGCGCACGCTTGAAGGACGTGCCGGGGAGGATGGGGCCCAGCCCCGGGCTCCGCGCGGGCAGTGCTGCCGTCCCCAGCCTCCCTCCGCTCTGCCGCCTCCCGGGGGGGGGAGGAAGAGGGGGGGCGAGTGGTCCCTTAGGTGTCCGTGGACACGGTGGGTGCGGTGCAGCCCGCTAGCGACCTGCAGCAGATGAAGGACACAGAGGCAGCCCCCGCAGAAAGAAAGGGAATCTCTGCCCCCAGGCACGGCTCGGCCCTCGGGTACCGCCGCGCCGTCCCGTCCGGTGCGCTGCGATTTTGTGAGCTGAGCTCGCACATCTGCGGAGCTGCGATGCGTGAGCAGTGGCGGCAGGAGCCCCTTCGCCTCCTGCCGGGCTGGAAACGCTGCCCGTCTTCCTCCCTCCTTCATTCGTCCCGCAGGCGCTTGTGGGGGCCAACCTAGCTGGGTCTGAGGATTTCATTTTTCTGTGTGTCAGACACAGAATCATAAAATCATAGAATGGCTTGGGTTGGAAGGGACCTCAAGGATCATCAAGTTCCAACCTCCAACATCTATGAAGGAGTTTTAACTCTCCACCAATGAAGTTTTAACTTTTAGGCTTTTTTATTATTATTACTTTCACGAAGTATTTCTCGGTGTGAATCTCCACTTTCTGAATCAACGGGTGTCCTAATGGCAGCTCAGCAAGGTGATCGGGGTCTCCGTTGAAGCCCTTTATACCTGGTCACAACCTTGGCGGTGTCACCTCCGTCAGGGCTTCTGCCCCCTGCTGGCCCCATTTCTGCCAGAGATTTGTAGGGGTCAAATTTCATCCTCGCTGCAGTTCCACGGACTCCAGTGGAGTTATGCTGAGGATGAATTAATCTCGCAGAGCTTCAAAGATTTGGTTCTCCGTTACTATGTCAAAACTAAATTTATTGAAGAAGAAATGCCGTATAGAAAGGCATGATAGATTTTGATGTTTTATGTCACTTTCCTGTGAGCACAGTAGAAGTCACTCTGGTGAGCAAGATTTATGTAGATGATCTTTTCACGTTGTGTTGACACAAATGAAAAGTTGAATGAAAATCTAAACCCAAGCAGCCTGGAAAGCAAACAATCAATCAATCAAACAAACAAACAAAACCCCAGAAGTTAGCTGGTACTTCCTTAAAAATTTTCAACATTGAGCACATTGATAGGTTTTTAGGTTTTATGTTTGGTAACTATTTTAAAAATCCTTTCCTCTAGTCCTCTGTATAAAAGAAGCTTTGGAAAAAGTGCTTCAGGCTTCTCATGTTTATAGGGGCATTCTGAAGAGAAATTACTGCTTGCACTTTTAGCAAATACAGTGTGCCATTTACGTAGAGATGCAGGGAGCTGTCTGTGCAGGGCTTGATCTGTTACTGAAGTCAGAGTATTTCCACTGGCTACCAAGAGAGAAGAATTTGGCACAATTTCCCTGATAGAGTATGAGGGAGATACTTCAGTGTTGTCTTTTGCCTATTCTACTCTTCCTTAAAGTAGTTTAGAGATAAAATAGGACATAAAACCTCACATTTGAAAGTTGGAGAGGGAAACTACTCAGATAGAATAGAATACTGCAGTGGGGAAACAATATGACTAAGTGCAAATGCTGCAAGTTTTGACCAGGGTAAAATATGAATCATAGCCCTTATAAAATCTATTACATTAAATCCTGTATTCTTTAATTCTTTTCATAAAATGCCACTTTGTAAAGAAACGTAAAGAAAATTTCTTTATGTATTTGTATAAAGTATTAATTATACATCAGCGACTTCTTAAGACAGCAGAATCTTTTCCATTCAGAAAAACCTCAAAAGATTCCTAAAATTCTTGACTTTTTTTCAAGTTGCTTTATTTAACATAGAAAAGAAATGGAAGTATGAGGTGTCATCCACAGAGTCGAGAAAGGAGGTGTGAAGATCTGCTTATTTCTTCTTTAGAAGGGTTATAGAAATGAGAAGGAGCGGAATGGAAAAGCTAGTGACTCATATTTGGTCAGCTCAGTGCCCACCAGCACTTAAGCAGCTCTTTTTAGAAAATATTTTTGCTTTAGGACTCGCCAAAAGTCAACAGTATTCAGTATTTTAAAAGACATCCTTTGATTTCCTTTCCCCTTCCTCACCTTTTAATACTAAATCTATTGGTAATGTGTTGGAATGAATAAACTCATTTAGTCAAAATGGCATGGCTTCAACACTATAAATTTTTGTAAGGCTCTGGCATCAATGCACTATTGTGATTCTGATTTAATTTTCATGGGCAAGAAATGAAAAATTAGCCTTTTTATTATTTATAAGCTTTTTCAATCCAGCTCTGAGTGCAAAAAGATTTAAGATTTCTTACTGAAAATGGGACTTTAAAGCTGTATAAAGAAAAGATACTTTCTGTGTGAGTGGCAAGTAGATTGGCTCCTAGTATACCGTAAATGCTTTTTACAGTCATCTTAGGAAGTACAAAGGTTCCTTGTGCTTCCCCTGGATGGGCTTGAAAACTAACAGGAGTTCTAGGTGCAGAAGGATTGGAGAACTGGGTCCACTAGTACTGGCAAAAAGACAGTTTTCTTTGTGGGCTCAGTATTGATATTTAATTGCAATTGCTTAGTAAGTAACCCCGGGAAGATATGGATCTGTTTATTGAATGAAAACTGTTTGCTGTATCTGATTACTCTAAACCAGTAAAGAAAAGGTGTCCCTAAAGTAGAAAAGGATTAATCTCTTCTCAGAACTGTTACTGGTATGACACTTCTAACTGATTCACTTTTAATATTGAAATAGAATGTGAAACACTTTCATCATTTTTTTTTAAATTTCACAGTGAAATAGCTATTTTTGTGTTAATTTTGGTTTAACAAAATGCCATGATCCTTCAGAAGCAGGAAGCAAAGAGAGGTTTCTCAGACAAAATATAGACAAAAATGATTAAATCAAAGGGAGATTTGGCTAGATTGTACTAGTGATCCTAGCTGAAGTTTTTTCTGAGTCCCAGGGATCAGCAGGTGAAATGGTCCTCTCTTCCCAGTGTAGAGCAAACGAGACTTGCATGCATATGTCTGTTTTACTGTATTATTAACATTTTAAAAATTATTTTTTGGGTAAAATAATTATATAAACATCACCAGCAGCCATCTGGTGGAAGAATGACTGGTATCGTGTCGCACATTCTCTAGCGTATGAATCTTTGCATTTAATTTAGAAAAAGACCTCTCAAGGATCTCAGAAAGAACTATTCAGACTGCAGGCTGTGCAGAAAAAAAGTTGCTGCACATTTCTCAACTTCAGTTTTGCGTGTACCTATTAAAAAGGGATTGTTACATATTCATTATTGCAGTTGTCTTGCTCAAAGATACTTCATCTCCTCCAAATGTGGCCCTTAATTCCAACAAGGCTGCAGCATAATAACAGAGCAGTGACATTTCTGCTGAAGTTACACCTAAAACACACTGGAGCGATTATGTCTCTCCTGGATTTGTCTTATTCAGTGGTGAACAATAGGATTTCCATCTGCCAGCAAGATAAAGAAGTTGCGTCTCTCTGTAGAGTTCTCCGCTTCTTTTTAGAAATCCTCCTAGCACTGATTCAGTTATAATTGTTCTGAATATTTGCTGATAATATGGGGGAATAAACTAAGCAGAGCTTGGGTGGAATCTCTAGTCCTGCAAGACTGCGAAGTCTCATGTAATGACACAGATTTGCCCTCTGGCTGGACACAGCAGATGGCAGTTGCTTGAAAGGACACTCATGCCTGTTGCAGTGGCTTATAACTGTACTGCTCAGTATTAAATACCAAGTTTACAGACTGTAAATGTAAGGATTAATTGCTGACTGTTACAACAATAGTAATAGAATGTGACAGAACTTAAATTCTTTTTAACACATTATCACACATAAAGGGTTGTAAAAATCTTTGTGAATTCTAAGGCTGGGACTTATGTCAAAGTGTTAATGCAAACAGTATGTGAAGTAGATATTATTTGGCAGAGCTGATACTATGGAAGCAAAGTATTTGCTACAAAGCAAATTGAAAGATGTGTTATAAAGTACGATTAAAAACTGAAGATCCAGATCCTGCTACGAATAACAGCACTAGCAGCCTGCAATTTAAATCAACTGCAGTTATAAGTCAAATTGTTGTCACTTTATGATAGTGTTACCATAGCTTATGCTTTTACTCCATCTGTTTCCTCATCTATGTGTCTATTCAAAATATTTTAGTAATCTGGGAGGTTTCAATCAAGCATTCATAGTTTAAAAAAAAAAAAAAGAAAGAAACAGTCAAAGTTTTACAACCTCGCTTTCTGCTTAAGCAGAACTGCAAGTATCAGTAGGGTACAGAACTAGGACTAGCTTCCTTGGCTTGCTGTCAAATGGGAGATTATGTCTTTGACAACAATGAAAGTATGGTGAATT